TTCTTGCAAAATGCTTTACATCCATGTCAACATTTTGTGTTTGTTTTTGTGGGGTTTTTTTTGTTTTTGTTTTTTTGGCCCAAAAAGAGTATTTTTTATTATTTGCATAATCATAAATTTGTATTCACATCATTGTCATATTCTTGATTAAAAATGTTACTGAATAAAATATGATACATTTGCACTTTCTGGCTAATATTCACAAAATATTAGCGAAAATAAAACTAACGCAATTAAAACAAGTTCTACAGTACGGTTAACAACATCTTAAAATCAATAACATTATTCACTTTTCTACAAAATCTCAAATGAACATGCTTTGTTAAATGTCATTCCTTGATCGTGTAAACAATATCTAGAAAATCACTGAACACTACAAAATCATTTGAATTTCACTTTTAATTAAATTTCAAAGTTTAATTTGCTTCACAAGAAATGAGAAGCCATATTGTTAATGTTGGCAATTGAGCTTTAAAAGTCTAATCTGCCTCAAGAGACTTAATTAAGCCTTTTATTCACCTCCCTACAGGAACCATAATTTAGCCTTTGCCAGCATGCAAAACAGAATAAAAATGTTCAAAACCAAATAAAATGCTGAAATCTTAAGTACAATTTGAACCATTTAGCAACAATTTAAGGGCACTAAGGGCGAGAGCCACTCCCTGACATTTAAGGAAATTAATAAACATATTTCTGTCATAGAGGTATTTTGGATTTGTTCATTATCTAAAAATTCAATTGATAAATATTAATTTTGTAATCAACATATAGCAGATACAGGTACGGAATGTTATAATGTTGTATAGTTAAGTATTTTGCTACCAGGAGAGTGGTAAAATTTATATATCACAAGACCAAGACCAAAATACATGGCCTCAAAAAGCCATTACACCATATTTATCGTTTTATTATAGTAAAATTACCTTAATATTTTCAGACAAAAAGAAGATATATAAATAATGAACGATGAATAAATGTTTATAGTAACATAACTTTTGCAAAAGAGACCACGCCCAAAGTAGCATTGGTTCCCGTTTCTAATGCTAAGATAGGAACCAACCAAAAAAATAGTCTGGCACTTCCATATATGGTACTGTATGTCATTAAAACTATATGGGTTTTTCTATCCCTTTAATCAAATTAGCACTTCATGATTTGTATGTATTTTAGGGATAAAATCTATTGATATATATAAATATCTTCTTAAATAAGTTAAAATCTAAAAGATGATACAATTTGATAGAAATATTAATTCTCATAAACTATACGCTCATAAAATGAAAATCTTTTTACAGTAATCATTACCAGCTGACACTCAAAGCTTCAGATTTATATTACAGTTCTAAATACAGAATTACTCTGAATATAGCATTATTATCATGAACAAAATGTCAAATTCATACCAGTCAGGTTACCATTAGGTATGAAAAATTATAATAACTAAACAAGAGCTGTTGGTTACTAATAGGACAACATGCTTGACTATTCTCAGTGCTTGAAAGTTAAACAAGACTCTGGATAATATAGAAATTTCTACTTTCGAAAAGGGCCATAATTCTGTCAAAATCCTTCTTGAGAGTTATGGCCCTTGGACTGCGACCTTCTATTATGCTTTCAAATAAGTATGACATTGTGCAGCTCTCAAACCTATTCCATTCTGTATAGTTAACTTAACCAAAGTGTGATGCTCACAGTCATCGATGCAAATGACTGGGCAATCCTTAGTTCTTTAAATAGTCAAGCTAAATTTAGGTACAAATGATTTAGAATTTTTTACAGCAACATTTCATTATTTTATTAAACTTTCAAAATACTTGAACACTGAAAATAAATTCAATTACCATGGAGAAATTGTTTTTTTTTGAAAAACGAATGCCCTCCCACAAACCAAACATTCATTTTATTAAAAAATAATAGTAAATCACCTTTTAAATATTATAAATATTATTTGATAATAAGTACATTTCTATGTTAAATCTCTTTCGAGAATCTTGACACAACAATAACCATTTTACAAGTTTGATAAAAATTGTTTCAATAAACATAGCTTTAATGAGTACTGGGGAAAAAAACTGCCAATGTGTTTTTAAATAAAACTGGTGAAACTGTGATAAAGTATATTGGGAAGTCATAATATGAACATCTAATAACTAATTATTCAGAAAAGTACAAAAAAAAATGCAAATAATGAGAAAAGTACAAAAAAAAAAATCTGAGTTAAAAGTAAAATACTTATTTGTGATCTTATTTATATTGTAAAACATCAAATTTCATCTAACTTACAAACCAAGAATCTTAAACTTTCAGACAAAAAAAAACGTGAAATATTTTGTTCATATGTAATAATGGCTGAAATCTATATTGCCGAGAAAAAAAATACAATAAAAGAACCGGTTGAACCGGGTGATGCTCCCCGAGAAGGTTCTGGACACAGGAAAGTATAAAAAAAATGAACAAAGGGCAAAAACTCCAAAATTAGGCAAAGCGGAGTTATGTTTTTTTGCACTGCACTTCTATTCAATGAGATCTATCTATCTATAAAGTTTCCTGATGATATCAGAATTATGTCCCAGGTAAAAGTCAAAGTGTAAAAATGAACAAAGGGCAATAACTCCAAAATTAGACCAGGCTTTGTCTAGGTTCTTTAAGCATTGCAATTCTATCCAATTATATCTAGCTTCCTTCAAAGTTTCATGTTGATATCTCTAATAGTTTTAAAGTATTGTCCAGGACAAAGTCAAAAAGTAAAAATAAACAAAGGGCAATTACTTCAAAATAAGGCAAGGCAGAGTTACGGTTCTTGTGCACTGCACTTCCACCTAATGAGACCTATCTATCTACAAAGTTTCATGTTGATATCTCTTATAATTTTAGAGTAATGTCCCAGACAAAGTCAAAGTGTCAAAATGAACAAAGGGCAATAACTCCAAAAGTAGGCAAGGCAGAGTTACCGTTCTTGTGCACTGCACACCTACTCAATGAGATCTATCTACCTACAAAGTTTCATGTTGATACCTCTAATACTTTTAGAGTTATGTCCCGGACAAAGATAAAAGTGTAAAATAAACAAAGGGGGATAATTCAAAAATAAGACAAGGCAGAGTTACCGTTCTTGTGCACTGCACACCTACTCACTGATATCTATCTACCTACAAAGTTTCATGTTGATACCTCTTATACTTTTAGAGTTATGTCCCGGACAAATTTCAAAGTTTAAAATAAACAAAGGGGGGTAATTCAAAAATTAGGCAAGGCAGAGTTACGGTTCTTGTGCACTGCACACCTACTCAATGAGATCTATCTACCTACAAAGTTTCATGTTGATACCTCTTATACTTTTAGAGTTATGTCCCGGACAAAGTTCAAAGTGTAAAATAAACAAAGGGGGATAATTCAAAAATTAGGCAAGGCAGAGTTACGGTTCTTGTGCACTGCACACCTACTCAATGAGATCTATCTACCTACAAAGTTTCATGTTGATACCTCTTATACTTTTAGAGTTATGTCCCGGACAAAGTTCAAAGTGTAAAAATAAACAAAGGGGAATAATTCAAAAATTAGGCAAGGCAGAGTTACGGTTCTTGTGCACTGCACACCTACTCAATGAGATCTATCTACCTACAAAGTTTCATGTTGATACCTCTTGTTGTTTCAAAGTTATGTCCCGGACAAGAAAAGGGGACGGACGGACGGACGGACGGACAGACGGATGGACGGACGGACGGACAAGGCGGCGACTATATGCTCCCCCGAAATTTTTTCGGGGAGCATAAAAAGAAATAAGAAAAATTGTCAACAAAACAAAATGAAAAAAGTGTGTATGTGTATATATTATAACCCTTAGCCAGTGTTTGTGGCCACAGATTCGGACTTTGCCGACAGTGCCAACCAAAATCAGCCGTGTAGTGCCGTGTGATCATGATCTGCACTGTAGTTCGCTATTCGGTCAGTTCAAATTTTGAAATTTTCCCCTATAAATGAGCCGCGTCATGACAAAACCAAAATAGTGCGTTTGGGACCAGCATGGATCCAGACCAGCCTGCGCCTCCGCGCAGTCTGATCAGGATCCATGTTGTTCACTTACAAACCCTATTACAAGTAGAGAAAGTGATAGCGAACAGCATGGATCCTGATCAGACTGCGCGGATGCTCAGGCTGGTCTGGATCATGATGCTGGTTGCAAACGCTCTATGTTGGTTTTGTCATAACGCGGCTCTAATGATGAATGGTCTTGTCCAGATTAAAAGATGGGCGAGTCCAAAATTTCTATTGTGTAAGGGTTATAAATAATAATTGATAACAATAATAATGATAATAATATGCTGTGATAAGTGGTAATTAGCTAAATGAAAGCCATTTTAGTAGGTCTAAATTATTTTGGGATCAGATTAAGCTTGTTGTATTCTTTACATGGGAGATATGGTAGTTATAATTCTTATAGTGACAATTTATTTAGTGACAATTAATAGTAATTGTTTTAGTCTTTACTATCATATGTATTTACATATTTTTATTTTTGTTTTCACATCAGGAATAAGGTTAAAGAAAATAAAGTCCAAAAAAGAATCTCAAAGAAAAGAAAGTTTGTCAAAAGGAAATTCCTTTAATTTATTACTTAAATTAAGGTTATTCAAAAAAATCCCCTGCCCTTTTTTATTCATTAAGGCTAATTTTAGAAACTTCATTGTTTTTCTGGTATTTAAGTAATATCATTCTCTGGTTTGCAAAGGTTTAATGTACTTGTTATTAAAAGATCATTACCTTTGTCATTTGAATTGTATTTCACCAATCAAAAAATTACCTAACACTTTGGAAAACATAATTATTGCTATTAGGATAAATAACAAGCAAGCAAGGGGAGGTAATCACCATACAAAAATATACAATATAAAAAGGGGAAGTAATTAATCATTTTTTAATTTCATTTTTCTACATAATCAGTGCAGTTTAGTGAATCTAAATATAACTATATGCAATGGTTGCTCCCTAGCAGAACTTACTGCCGAGTCATCAGCATTTTTTGGCCCGTCGCCAAGTTTAGGGGACGGGAAAAACCCTTGGAAAGGAAGCTGAAGAGAGCTTCTGCGCTGTTTACTGACCGGAGCTTCGAGCATGGACTGAGCTCGACCAATCACAGACTCTCTTCTTGACATCTGAACGCAGGTTAGAAACAAAGAACAAACATTTCACATAATGCAAATGGCATTTAACATATTATAATATAATCGTAACAAAAATATATATAGGTGCAAAACAGATAGAAAATGATCACTAATTAATGATCAGCTAGCAAAAACAAATAAAAGATCAACTAGTGATCTCTAATTAATGATCAACTCAGTGATCAGTACTGACAAAAGATACATACTAATTATGCTATCAAGGAATTGTATCACTTTTTTCATTTACTTTGACAGACAAAAATTCTATCCAAAACCCTCCATACAGTAAAATTTGAGTAAATATATCAGAAATGAAAAATTATTATAAAAATCTTAGAAATATATAAAGTAATTTCTCAATTTTTTTCCATACACCTAAAAGGAAAAAGCCTGAACAAATCAGATATCTATCAAAGTTAAAGGAACTCCACTGAGGTTCAAAAGCATAAAAATATATAATCACATAGATAAACTGTATTTTTGCACTGATCTGAGTGAAAAGCATGCAACGCTTTTCGTATTCCACAATAAGAAAAATTATTCTGAAGAAAAAAAAAAAGGGTGAGCCAATGATCTGAAATCTTGCACACAAGCTTTTGGTCAAGATGATATTCATCAAAAGGATTATCAATCTTGGAAAACTATTTCTAGTTCCGCCATGTCAGCAGCTTAAATACCTCAGTGGAGACCAGGAAAAATTTGTCTGACTAAAAGAGTTGAGTGATAACTTGTTTGACATACGGCCTCATTAGGGTAAGCTAATTAAATGACATCAAAGTCAAGGTTGTTATAATGAGGTCACATGAAAGTACAAAAAGACTTGTATATCGTATATCGTGCAAGGAGGTTGTCTGTAACATTGTTCTTTCTTGCTCTGAAGTGCGTTCAACGAGCATAATTATGATAGTATTGTTTTAAACCGTCTTCCGGCCACATTTTCTTTGACAATGATTAATATGGTTGGTTACAAAAAAGACACTAATGAAGAGAAGAAAAAAACAATAAAAGTGATTATTTGAAGAAAAGAACAAGATACTTTGAACAATTTTTCCAAGTTACGTTCACTCGAAAATAAATAGCAAAACTTAAGGCTTAGGATAAAGGGGTTGCGTTCCTTAAACAATGCTTTCCTCTGTTATAAACTTTATTTTCAAACATACTGTATTTAAAGAACCTTATTGTAATTCAGCTTAAAATTCTTATCACATTTTCGAGCATTTACTAGAATTCAAGAAATATAAAATCTCACAGCATTTGTAAAACTCTTGGGAAAACTTGGAAAAAAAATTCATGATGAGCAGTGTTTTCTCATTATTTTCCCCAAAGAAGTATTAAGTTTTATCTCTGCTCATTGTCTGGGCTGTGAATATTTCAATTATCTGCAAATTTAGTGCAGAAAATCCTATATTTTCACAGCATTTTACCGTCACTAAACAGAATTCCACAAATAAAGTAAATCATTTAATAAACTGTTAAAAGAATAGATTTCCTTTTCAGTGTAGTAAAAAAAGTTTCAAATCTTATATAACATTGGACTAATTCAGAAATGGTCTCCTGCCACTAAAATTTCATAAGCTATGGTAATCCGAATAAAAACAGCTGTTGGAAGTGGAGCTCTGATATAATAACAACATCACTCAGTCCTAAGTCTTGTAAATGGTACTGTTACTAAATCAACACTTTTTCAGCATATGTTGACTACTTATGTTTAAAACAATAGTGTCAGGTTTCTGGTAGCACAGAATCCTATGTACCCACATATAAGACGGACCATTTATAAGACCGGGGTCCAATTTTTAAGCTAAAAACATATTGACTGTCATAAAAAATAAACTGGCTTTAAAAAAAAAAAGGACCATATCAAGGCAAAACCGAGATTATAAGGCTTCTTTGTTCAGTTTCAAGGTTCTCCATATAATTCTCCTACAAAAAATGTTCTAATTTTTGTATTATCATTTATTACTACCTTATCTGCTCAAACATGAGGTGCATTAATTCTATAACGAAACAGTTAATTTAATTAACAGAAAACCAGACTTATACATAAAGTATTATAAGCAAATGCTAACTTGACTATTTTCACATTAAAATGATTCTGAATACAAAGAAAATAATAATTTTTCTCCATTAGAGGTAGAAAGAAGACAAATCTAACATGTTCTATTTACTACTGCAACTTGTATCAGAAATTAAACTAGAAATTACAGAAAAAAAAAACATTATCTACATGTTAACGTAGACGATATAAATGAAGAAATTTGGAAGCTATATTAGTGACCATTGGTTTATTACTTATACAGGAATGTTAAACATTGATCTTCAGAAGATTCGAAATGAATTTGTCCCCCTCCGTGACCATTTAGACCTTATAGAGTAATTAGTAAACAACTTTTACAGCTATGTCAATTTAATTATGTGGAATGCTTCTCAGTTTGACCAATTTACCTAATGAGGTTTGAGAGCAAAATATAGTGACCCAGTCTAAGCTTTGTTCTTATTATACAAATGTTAAAAATAGACTGATACTCAGGCCTGCTTGACCGAATGGAGGTTTAATAATGAAAGAGGAAACAAAGAGGTACCAGTCTGCAAGTTACTAAAAAAATTGTCCAGACACTGTTAGGATACAAAGATTGACAAGGCTATAATAATGTGCCATCGTGTCTGTTTTCAAGATTTTACTTGTTGATTTTTCCTTAATCCAGAAGCAGAATTCATTGCTCAAAGCAGACAAATAAATTTTACATAATTATAGTGTAAACATATAGACTTATTTGCAGTTTCTACATTCCAACAGCCGTATTCCGTAACTGATTTTTCATATTACTTTGTCTCCGCTCGTAACACTATCCTAATATAACAGAGAAAGGCGGAAGCTCGTCAAATGTCAGTTTTTCCTATCTCATCTCCTTAGAGTAAAACAAACTTTTAATATCAAAACTTTGTTAAATCGTTGACTGCTATTGTGAAGGGTATATACAACAAAAGTCTGTTTGTATCCCGAGGTCCCACATTTAACAAGTCCCGAATAACATCTTTCTGTTATATGCAATACAATTTGTGACCCCAAAATACGTGAACATTTCATAGAGGTAATTGCTGGAAAATGCAAAATGTGTTGAAATAGTAATGCTCAAACTTCTTGACCAATAAGGATTTAGAGTATCTTCACTGCTGACCAAGAAAAGATTATACAAAATGATGCGTTGTGGGCAACTTTAAGGCCAGGTCCTCATTCTACTAGAATAAGACTGACCAAATTTGAACTTGCGAGCAATGAAAAATACTGATATAACTAAACTGCATTTTAAAATCGTCAAAAAATTCACACAGCAAGCTTATAAAATTCTAGGCATAAGTGCAAAAGGGTTTTGCTTGTCTTTCACCTAAATAATGCCCTAGGAAAGCAATTGCAACCAAAACACCCTTATACCACAAGAAAAGTTTAAGGCACTGCAATTTACCCTAATTCAAGCCAGTAGTTTGGATATGTATAAATGTAATTAGTGCATTTTTTTTTTAAAGAAATGTTATCATTTACAAATACTTTAAATACCTAAAGTAATTTATGAACATTAAATTTCAAAATTGAAAAAATCTCAATATGGCATTTGATATTAACCATGTGAACAATAATTACCAAAAATTACATTCTCTTAATACTGGCTTGACTACAATTAAAACCAACTTATATTATCTAACTTACCCCTGATTTGGATTTAGAGTTCCCACTTTTACCACCACCACCAGCAAGCTTGGTACCAGTAGCTTTACTCAAGGACTGGGAACCAGATGGTAATGTTGGTTCCCCATCTTTTTCTGAAAAGATACAAATAAAACAAAAACATGATTAAATGTTCAAAAAGAAATATAAAATTAACCATTAACCTATTCTTTTTAATGGATTTGCCCTTCTTTGAATTTAGAGCAAGGGAACCATTCAAAGTTTCTGAAATTTCACGTTCAAATTACAAAAACTGAGCTTCCAAAAGGAAACAGCTTGGTAAGACTTCACAATATTCAAGCATGACTGGCTCAATTACTGGTGGCAAAGGGTAAACATTTTTGACTCTGCATAGACTTCTAAGGTATCAAATATCCACTGTTTCCATTATGAAAACTTTGAATCAATAATTATGACCAATAATTATTGTTTACAACCAAGCACACTCAATCATTTACATGCAAAAGAAAATTCATTCAGGCCAAACAAGTTGTACCTGGAACTCTGCCAATCATTGATATGTTAAGTGTCATCTAATTGGTTGATTCCATTTTGAAATCAACCAATAATAGAACTGAATTTATTAGACTTGTCCCTGGACTGTGAACCTGGCATTTTTGGATACTATTGTCTATTCAAGGTATGAACTGGTCAATTTAAGGTATGAACTGGTAAGTAGGGCAATTATGCAGGATAAGGATGACTAAATTGTATATGAATCAATATCTGTACTTATCCTTTTGACCAACTTCTGTACTCTAAAAATAGCATACTGTATTTGTCAAAGGAGAAACTCAGTCTATTTTCATTTGTCTGTTCTAAAAATAGCTCATAGAAACTAAAAAACTTGGTTAATTTGTCAACTTGTTAAGTTAGAATGAGAAGGCTGCATTACAGATTTAACTCTACTGACCAAGTTTTCTTATCTAATTACTTACATGGTCAATAAAGTTAAAAAGATTTTGGGTAAATCCTGAGAAAGAGGGTCAGGTCATTGTATCTAGCTACATGCAAATTTTCTCTGAATAGCTTTCCCTTAAAATAGGGCAAATCCAAACTGTGTCATGTGTCAATGTACCTATTAAGGAAAGGGCAAATCCAAAGTTAACTGTGTCATGTGTCAATTTACCCATTCAGGAAAGAGCAGATCCAAACTGTGCCATGTGTCAATGCACCTATTACGGAAAGGGCAAATCCAAACTGTGCCATTATATATTAACCATTCAGGAAAAGGCAAATCAAACTGTGTCACCAGAAACAACTTTTTCAAAAGTGATTAGGAGGAACAGACAAACTGCAGAAATCACTGTAGTGCAAAAATCTATGCTAACATCAGACAGTTTCCAAAAGTTAATATGTTTTTATTACCGCCAATAACTGACAAAAACGATAACAAGGTTTAATTCACTTTTCAGTTTATTGACTTAAGTGAAATCATTGAAGGCATCTCTAAATAAGAATGTCAATCAACTTACAGACTTCCAAAATGTGGGTGAAAGAAACACTAACCTTTCACCTGCTATATTTTGTATAATGATATCCTCTCTGCCATACTTTCAAACTCATCTATTCCCCAGGCCAATCTGCAAAATCACCCCCTATCTCCATGTAACCCATCTGGGATCCCCCACCTTAATCCCCCCTGAGGCCCATCTGGGATCCCCCAAAATCCTTCAGGCCTTTCAACAATTTTGATTTTAAACAATTTGAAACACTTCTATATGTGACTAGAACAATGCCTTACCATCCCTAGCAATCGTATGGTTGTCCAAATCTTCAATGCGAAACTCTATCTTGATCATTTTACACACTTTACTCCACTTTGACATAATACCACAAATATATACCACAATTTCTTAGCAAACTACATGTGAATATCAGATTGAGTTCCCATGCCTCCTTTTTTACTTTTGTTATCTAATTCCTTTAATATTCTGTATTTTCAAAAAAAAAAACAGCAAAATACAGGTCCTTACTAAGGAATGGTTGTTCAACTATTTATAGAATATGACTTTAATTTATAGAATTCTTCCATTAACTGAAGAAATGTGTAAACCTGTAAAATATTTTGTAAACTTTTCAGTCTTTTCTCCATATTGTCTACCCTTTTTGTTCATTTTCACACTTTGTGTTCATTTTCTCTCGATTAATATACAATACTATAACTTATATCACATTTTTTTACAATTTACACAGAAAGAAAATAAGAACGCTTGAATTCCAACATTTAGTGCTGTACAACCAAACAATGGAGCAAATTTCATAGCTTGTAATCCTCATGATACATCATAACCACAGCGATGTATTTCACATTATTCTTGGAACCGCAAAGATAGCAGTATCTGTATGTCACTTTTATTCCTTCTCTGATACCATGTTATGCATATTGTTATAAATAGTCTTCAGTTATTATTGTATTGCCAGAGGAATGTTATAATTGTCATCAATTGTCAATGTCATACCTTAAAACTTTAATAATCACATATAATCTTTATTTCCCGCCTAATTGTTGCTCACCTTCTCACCTACTTGATGCACAATATTACCTTTTGGCAGAAAAATAAAAGATCTTGCATGATATATTTCAAATTCCTTGACTTTACATATTCCTATAATATTATGTATTCCTTTGAAATTACATATTCCTATGACATTACGTAATCCAATGAAATTACATATTCCTATGACATTACGTAATCCAATGAAATTACATATTCCTATGACATTACGTAATCCGATGAAATTACATATTCCTATGACATTACAATGTCAAATTCCTATGAAATTACGAAATTACATATTCCTATAACATTATGTATTCAGTTGACATTACATATTCCTATGACATTACGTAATCTGATGAAATTACATATTCCTATGACATTACAATGTCAAATTCCTATGAAATTACATATTCCTTTGACATTACAATACATATTCCTGGAGTATAACATGTCATTGAATAATCAGGTGGTGCATTACTAATATTTACATATTCCAATAGTATTACAAATTTATATTACATATTCCTTTATCATTATGTGGCATTATATAATTTTTTAGCATTACATATTCCTTTATTATATATTCCTGGGATAATTACATATTCCTAAGACATTCAATATTCCTGTGGCATTACATTGCATTCTATATTCCTGTGGCACATATATACCTTACATATTCCCATTTACATGATAAATTCTTGTCCCATTACGATATTTACCTTAAATGATCACATTACATTTAATCAGTTTCGATTTTACATCACTATAACAATCAATACATTTTCCCGAATTTTCCTGAGCAAGCCAAAATTAAGACATTCTGGCATTATATTATATATTCTTGCAAAAATTTACCTATTTTTGTTGCACATTATATAATATTATAGAAGCAGACAATTTTCTGATTATTCTCGATTATTCGTGATTATTCCTCTTCTACCAGATATAAATAGATTAGCATTTCATTACATTACAGCCGTAAAACTTAACTTCACTTTCAATTATCTTAAACGTCATTCATCATCTTTTGCAGTTTTCGCCCATAAATTATTTGCCGTTTTATTTTTATTTTTTCAAAGATGTTAATAACACTTAAAAGTAAAGCGTTTCAAATCTTTTATAATTTGTTATCTAAGATTCATTCTACAAAATCGAGACTTTATTTTCACAATGTCTATCTTTTTAGATTTTACTGCTTTATTTCTAATATATATTTATGATCTCTATTATTGTTTATAATAAATAAAATTGCAATTTTCAAAGTTATAATATTATTTATATCTTACTAAATAATTTTTTAAAATGTGTTACATTTGAACATTATTATAAGTACACTTAAATCATTATTAAAATAGTTCTGTTTGGGGTCTGACCGTGACCAACCTGACCGACTTTTTCAAATGCCAACTCTAAAAGAAATTTTTCACCTTTTCCAATTTTCAAAAATTAATCTTTTAATTCTTTACAATATATAGAATATATATAACAAAATTGATTTATTTAAATTTATTCCATTTATGCACATTTAGTCTATTTCAATAAAATTTTCACCCTTACCACCCTAAATATATTAAATGGACTTGTCCATCTTTCAATCTGGACTATACCATTTATCATATTTAGGAAAAATATCAAAATATGGTGAGACAGAAAAGCAATCAGTGCAGACCATGAACAGATGGCACATAATTATGTGCCAGCTGATTTTGGTCTGCACTTAAATTGCATTGGTAACGTCAGATGCCGCTGGTAGGATTTAGTGTTAAAAAAATAAATATATTTAATACATTGCTATAGAAAATATTTCCATGTAAAAAATTTAAATTCCATTCACAGTAAATAAATCTGCCATATTACATTTTAACACACACCTCCAGAATGTTACAAATGTCTCTTTAAGATATATATCCAATGAAAATCACTGTTTAATAATCACACCATTTTATCAATGATATTCGTTCTCCATATCAACTTATCTACATACATAGCAAATTCATCTCCTCACTGACTATGTATAAAAATTTATTTCAATAATTCAAAATTTCTTAATATAATCCATCCAGCAGCAAAAAAACATTAATTTTTACTTTTTTTCATATTTTTTCTCCACCTGTTGAAAAGTCTTAAACTTTCTTTTTTCATTAAATTAGCTCAAAATATCATTAAGAGACTTATATATTATTAAACTAGAGCACAGAATGTGATTCTTTTCATTTATGAAACTAGCACAATGTATTGTAAGAAACAGGCAGCCTTCTGCCATTTGTCTGTTATAAAATGAAATATAGGTTCATTTTCCAGCTAGTCCACAAATAGATGTATATTACAGCGCCTTGCCTTTCAAGACATTTGACATTTAGACGAAAATTAATTGTTGATTTTGAGCTACAATTTCAGATACAAATATACCTTTGAAAGACATACAATTTATGATACAAATAGTTCATAAAAAATTAACTAAAGGCAATTATATCTATGCAGGTGCTTCAATAATTCTAAAGGGCCAAAACTGTAAAAATAGGACAGACAACTTTGGCAATATTTTACAAGGAAAAATTATTTTTACAGTTGCTCAAAGGAAAGTATTAGAG